TTTAAAAGGTCCTCCTTGCATCAAGATAGCTGGAATCTGTGGTTTATTTCTCAACTGTTCATTAACTGGGACTTTAAAAGGCCATTTATAACCTGTTAAAACTGAAATCAACCACTTATGGTACAGAGAGAGACGAGTGGAGCTTTAAGTACCCTCTGACGAAGTGATTGATTTTAAATTTTCAGGTATTCAATCTTGTGCTAAAAAACGAAGAAAAGATCAATCATGGAACTACTCTCAAATTGAACAGTTGGTGCACTGGTGTTGTAGTCAGCGTATCAATATGAATGTTAATAATAAGCCCAGGAAAATCAATCAAAAGGTGACCACAATCCAGCACTCATTCATTACACTTTCATTGATCAGTATATAGTACTGCAGAGGTTGTTCTCTTAAAGGTTAAAAAGAGGAAAGAACACCAATTTTTAGCTCATTTAAAAAAGGACTGCTCCTAGAGAGGCATAGAAAAATAGTGAATAATCCACCTTAATATCTCCTGGCTGACAGTTTGGATGTTCTCTGTGAGCTTAACTAATCTTCTCCATCTTCCTTTAAGATTTCAGAGAGCTCAGCCACAGAGAATTTCAACATATTTAAACTGGCATACAGCAGCTTGGTTATTTGCCTTATAGAGTTTCTGTTGTGATATGCACTTTGTAAGATTTTTACCATACGCTGTGTGACATCACCAAAAGATAGAACATGTTACGGATAAAGGTTGAGGATATGGACATCTGTCCATTGGCAGACGTTGCTTTTGCACAACATCAGTACAACGTCTTTTAACTTAAAAACAAGTGCGGCCCCTTCTCTTTTGAAGACACACGCAGAAAGTGTTCAGCCGCCTCAGAATCAACAACAGCCTTTTTCTCTCTTCTGATTTTGAAGTGACATGACAGAAGAGTAATTGAATTTCTGAAACCTCCACCAAAATAAACAGCCCACAGCCACTGAGCTACAGAACATTAGGCCTGGAAATATCACTCGACACTACTGCAACAATAACATTCCCACAGCCGAACCAAAATGTTGCCACGGCAAAGAAAGGTACAGCCAGGGGACAAGTCAAAAAAGTGAACAGATATTCAAAGAAGAGAATCCAGTCGTCCAACTCTTAAAGTTAAATGAAGCAGTATTTCTAGCATCCTTAAATGTAGACTTTTTTTTTTTAGGATTTTGGAGTCTGTGTGTGTGTGAAAACTTGCAGGTGTGCATTTCAGTAAAAAAAAAAAAAAAAGGTATACGCTTGACAGAATGTGCACACAGCAAGGGCTGATTTGCCACATACATAGCCAAAAGTTCAAGTGAAGCTAATCAAAAAGAGCAGTGACAAAAAAAGTATTTCTTTGAAGAACAAACATGAAAGAGTCAGCAGGTCCGACTGGATCTTTTTCAAATGAGATAACTGGGCCGTTTCAATAAAAGTAACTGTGAAAAAAATATTTTCCCACATGCAGCACAACTTTGGGTCCAGTTCATTTAAAGGGACCTGAAAACTCCTAAAGTGATGCTGCAGCTTCAGGTGCATGCAGGCAGGGGAGTCATAAGGACACATGGAGAGTGTGATATAAACTATAGGTGTACTATAAAATGAGTTTAGAGTAATAGAGTAGTTGTTGTTACATGTTATGCATGACATTTTAATATCATTGGCAAAAACTACAACTAGACTTTGCAGCAAATGCCAAAGTATTCTGTCACATGGATCAATTTACCTCAATCATTAGGAAAAAAGGCATCTATTTAGTTTGTATGTCAATCATCATTTCATTCATCTAATATTAAGATATATTAGAGACTGCCCTACCTAAGATTAGTAATATTTATAAGTCTTGAGAATGCCTAAAAAAACCTCACATTTTTTGTTTTGCTGTTATTAGTACAACAATGTATTGAAATTTCATCAAACAATACCCTCATATACTAGATAGTTATTGTGTAATATCCTAACCTGGGGCATATAAAGGGAAACAATGACATTAACAACCTTTTCATTTGAGATAAGGTTCTTAGAAACCATTTGTAGAAGATACAAAAATCAGCCATGGTGCCTTGCTTCCAAGGTTTAGGCATCTTACACATGTGGCCTCTCTGTTGAGAAAAGATGATTGCATTTAGCCTGATCTACTCTGACTCTTGTATAAGTGAGGTCATTTTCATACATATGCGCAATTCCATTATTATGATCACGGCACCCAATTTTCCAAACACCAAACATATTCAAACTCATGGGTTTTGATCACTGACCTTTCTTTTGAAGTCATTTTTGTTTCACTCATTGCTTTCTCTTCACTTGATTTATTTTCCTTTTCATTCTGCAGGACGTTTTGAACTACATCAATGTTCCATTTAAGTCACTAATACTGACTGTAGCCATGCTCAAACAGCTTGACACAATGTAGGAGAGGGGGCCTTGGTAGGGTTGGAGGGGGGGGGGGGATTAAATAAAAAGAGGGTTGGTTTTTTAATTAAGTGGCAGAATTGACTCGGAGATAATGATATTTGCTCTGTGCTGATTTTGGTTTGCAATCAGCCCCATTATATTAACACTTGAGTGAGTGAGAGAGAGAGAGAGAGAGAGAGAGAGGGGGAGGGGAGAGAGGGAGAGAGAGAGAGTCATCTCTATGATAATGTCTGTAAATTGCAGTTGGTGTAATTAATCTTCTAAAGTCACATTGAAGAAGGGCAGGTAATGAGATGAGGGGTGACAGACCCATGTAGACACACACAAACACATAATCTGTCACACACAGATATACAAGTTTCCCAAAGCACACATCATCTACAACCATTACACAAACAAACTGTAACGTTGTTTGCAACACACAAACACCCATGGCTGCTGGTAATAGTTGATTTAAAGCTCCTGTGAGGAGATTTCACTATTGTGAAACAGACTTAAGTTCATACTAACATCTATATATGACTTCCAAAAGCAAACAAGACCATGTTTGACAAGATGGATTATTTCTATACAGACATGTTCAAGGCCTGAAACTGCCCTCTGTGGAGTGCATGTCAGAGGAAGTCATTAACAACATGCTGCCAAAACAGACTTTGTCTACATTTTTCACAGCAAAGATTCAAAGTGAGTGGTATTGTTCATAGTAAAGAGAAAGCAGGATGACGTTTTCTGTTTAAAAAGAAAACCCACATAAAAATGTGCAGTATAAAACAATGAAGAGACAGGAAGTACTGCTTTGTCCACAGGGGGCGCCAAAACCCACACAAAGCATATGTTCCTCACACTCGAGCTTCAATCGTTAATTATTCATGTGATTATTTTCATATGCAAAATAGGATTGGATCTTTAAAATATTAAAAGAGAATTGTCAGAAATAAAGCTGCAAATAATCAGGACACAATTAAACCACAAGAAAGAAACATAAAAGGGAACATTTAAAATGTGAAAGTGTATAAAAAAAAAGTAAAACATTTTAAATGTTTTAATAAAAAGAAACAAAAAGCTTAATTTTTCCGCATTGCAACCCACACATCCAAACCCTCTTCTCAGCTTTTAAGCCGCATCTCTTTATTAAAGCTCCTGTGAGGAGTTTTGGTTTGTGTTGATTTTGGCGCCCCCTGTTGACACAGCGGTACCTTTAATTTCTTAGTTGATCTTGTGCATGTGTAAGTAAAGTTTTTTAACAAAATATTTTTTCTTTTATAGGCAATAGGAAATTTTTTCCAGATACACTTTTTAAGATTTTGGTTGAAATTGTCTTTAGGTCCTGACAGACATTAATAATTCATGTGCTCTGAAAAAGGGAACGAAGAAAATCCATCATCTGTAGCAGTTGTAAGCATGTATAACAAAATATTTTTTCTTTTATAGGCAATAGGAAATTTTTTCCAGATACACTTTTTAAGATTTTGGTTGAAATTGTCTTTAGGTCCTGACAGACATTAATAATTCATGTGCTCTGAAAAAGGGAACGAAGAAAATCCATCATCTGTAGCAGTTGTAAGCATGTATAAAACTTTGACCAATGTCTGCCACGAGGTACCAATCTGATGAAGCAATCACACCTCCCTGCATGTAAGTGAGGGGCGTGGCTTGTGAGGGAGCACAGAGGGGAGGGGGTGGGTGTAGACGGAGAACTGAGGGAATGCTACTTTCAAAATCATGCTAGTTTTCGAAAATGACCAACCCTGCCTTTAACAGTCTAACATATACTCACCAAGAAACTGTAATGTGAAAAATGTTATAATTCTGTTTCTGTAACTCATTCCGTGTGATACCTAAACCCTGCAGCATGTTAATCACAAAAACACAGTAGAGAAAACATTAATCTCGTCACTCATGGTGGTGTTTGCTTACATAGGTCACAAAGAGGCAAAGATTTTAATTTTAGGCAGTTTCATAACCAGTTAAAAACTCCTCACAGAGCATACAGCTTCAGAAGAATAATCCCAAATGGCAATTGCCCGAAACCCAATGGTAAATGGGAAATATATTTTTTAATACTGTAAGTTTCCAATGCCAGATGGTAAAAAGTGCAAATCAAAAAGCTATAAAATGTGTAAGCTTTTGCACTGCATAATCTTCATTTTTCATCATTACATTTTCTTAAAAAAATTGCATTTCATTTTTTTTTTCAACTCAAGAGCTCAGTGATGTCCTTCAATTGTTTCTTTTGTCAATCTGACAGAACGAACCCCAAGACTTTACATTTACAATCACCAATACTTAAGATTCTTACATTGAAGAAACTGAAACCAAAAATAGTACAAGTGTGTGATAGTATTACTTTAAAATAACCGCAATGATTACTGTCATCTACTGTCAAACAGTAGATACATTCCCTCTGAAGGACCAATCATATCAACTAATCATGGCCCTTGTATGTTAGATATGACACACACATAAAGGCAGATCATATTATAAAGCCGACAGAGCAACAGGTCCCAGAGCCTGAGGCATCACAATGTCTCACACTTGGCTTCGCTCTCACACTTTCTATTTCACACTCTGACAAACAGAGCAGGCGCTGACTCACAGTGTGAAGTTCTCCTCTGGGTAACAGCGGTTCCTCAGCAGTCCGGCCCACAGCTGCACTCCGATGATGCCAAAGATGAAGAAGACGAAGAAACAAAGGAGGAGGACGTTCCCCAGCATGGGCAGAGTGTCGAGCAGCAGGTTTACCAGGATACGCATGCCTGAAGAGGTGAAAAAGACACTCAGATTGTAACTGTGGTTGTCCGTTTCCCTCAGCTCTTTCCCTAAAAGTGTAGATGTTTTGATCCCAGTGGGATCTTTGTGAGGTCATAAATAAGAACTTTATTTTCTTGATTCAATGATTCAATAGTTTTGATTGTTGGGCTTGTTGGGATGAGTTGAAAGCTGCTTGTTGCACAGGAGGATATTTGAGTGGTGTCAACTGTAAATTTGGTGTGTAGGTTCATTTAATATCAAATGTAGAATATAAAAAATGTTGACAGTTAACTAAATGTTTTCCTCCTTTGCGTTTTTATTGTTAATTGGTTTAATACACAAACAAACACAGACACATTTGTATAATTTGTGCACTCCTAAACACTCAAACAAACAAACACACACACACTCTCACCAACTATTTTGCTGCTGTAGATGTCAACACATTACCCTGGCACTTCCGTATAAGCCTTCGTATTATCATAATTAGCTAATCAATCCCTAATCTGCACTCTAATTGTGATCCCACAGCCCATTACTCTGACTATGATCTGCATAAAGAAACTACAGCAGGGGTTCAATTCTATCTGTAAAATAGACGGAGGATTGATACAGCATTTAACTGGCTAATCAGGGGTAAGTGGGAAGGCAGTCCTCAGACCTTCTCCCAAGGGTCCAGAGAAATTACTTAATGATTTTTAATGATTGTATGAAATCATGTAAGACAAGGAAGCCTTGGATAACACTGAAGGGTACGTGATTTATCTAAATCCAAAATAATATTGGATAGGTGACAATTCTATGAAAAAGTACCTCTCTGAAAAAATAAAAATATGAACAATATGAGGTTTTGAACTCCCTTGTTTAATATCTTAAGGAACACTTTCTTTATGGACACTGTATGTTGTGTTATCTGCATTATTGGGAGATTTCATGGATCTTTTTCATGCATTCGTAGGCTCTACGACGATACCAATAAACACACATGATGCTCTATTACTATACAGCTGTCACTATGCAACCAAAGTTAATTGACTAAACCTCCAACATAACTTTAGTAGAGACAAATAGTATGCTATGAGAGTCCATGTAGTATCATTAGTTGTCACGTGTGTTAATGAAGGCGCATGCTGATGCATCTATAAAAATGAATTTCGTTTGAAGGTTGGTTCATTTTGAAGAATTCATGAGACTATAATGTAATACCCTGTAATGCAAAGAATCAGAAGTAAAATAAGTTTGCCTTTGGAATTGAGCCTTAAGTTCTGTGATATCTTAAAAGACAAACAACATTTTCACAAGCTTTAGTTCAACTATGGGATGAAAGTAGGGTATTAAATTGATGGAAATTTCTTTCCAAGGGCCACATGTAGGTTTTCATATAAACCACATCTAGAATTGCAGTGATCTCATGAGAATTTAAATCCCCCCCAAAGGGTGAGATTTCAGTTTCATCGGAGAAAAACACAAGATGTCCTCCCTCTCTTCTTTTGGAATAAACACAGACACACAAACATGACCTTGGGTTATCAGAAAGCGGAGCTTGTTTTTGGATTTGGCATTTCAATATTTAATGATTTACTGGCAGGAAATTCCTCCGATTTCAGAAAGTTCCCACTGACCATCACAGAAATGTGCTCAAAAGGCCAAAAGTTCACTGAAGCACATCATCTCATCATTGTCATCTCATCTTAAATGGGTACACTTGTCGGTCTATCAATCCACTGTGATCAAATACACCAACTCAGCCATACATTAAGACTTTCAGAAGAACGACAATGATTTGTTTACACTGTCAGAGAGATTTATTGAACTGCATCATTATTTTGGACGATGTGTGTATGTACAGTGATGTGGCGCTTCACTGCATTCAATTGAGAGGTGATCCTTACATATTTCTGATTTTCTTTGAAAGAGTAGAATGAACTCCTCTTTTACTCACAGTGATCAGGTCTGTTTGAAGTCATTAGTAGTATTTAGTGTTGTTACCCTAAACTGTAAGTAATCATCATAAACATTTTCAAGATGCAAAGAAATTGATCACACAAAGATACAAGATGGAAACAACCAGAAATATTTCTGAAACTAAAACAGACTTTGGTATCACTTTATTGGAGTAAAATATCTGCCTATTTGATGGTAGGAAAATTAGAGTTGATTAAAAGGAAAAACACATTTCCTTTATTTAAAAGGCAACTTGAATCATTTTAATCTCTTACAGCAGACTGCCGGAGACGCAGGAGACGGGGGGGAAGGGGATGTTTGGAGCAGAGAAAAAATGTAGATGAGCAAAGTGCAAACTTGATTAGCAGTGAGAATCAACAGAATGTAAATGAAAAGAAAGAGGAGGCAGATAATCCGTTGATGACCGTTACCATAGCTGCTGATGCAGCCTTACCCAAGGGTGCGTTGGGTAATGTAGTAAACAGGTCCAGCGCTTTAAGCTGTGGCCACTGGGAACCAGGCCTGGATGATTTCATTTAGCGACCCCTTAGATGCCTCACTTCACACATCCACCACTGAGTGTTTGAGCTCAATTAGTCACTGTGTCTGAAAGTGACTTTGCGTTGGCTGTGTTTTTTTTTTGTTTTTTTTTATCTCTGCTGTGTGTGTGCGCATATGGCAGTGTGTTTGTTAGCATGAGTGTGTTTGTGGCTCCCCCACAGCATGAAGATTGAATTACCCCTGAGATGTGCTCTGTGGTAAATTGTCTTTAATAAAGAAGAGAATTGCTTCCTCATTCATCCAGCAAATAAAGATGAGTAAAATAACTGGCTGGTGGCAGCAGGTGCTACTGTAGTGCACAGTTGTGACTGACCTCCACGTCCTGTGGATTTTATGGCCAGTGGTTAACAAAATAACAAAACCATTTCATATCTGTGTGGGTCATTTTCCAGTCCACAGTCAATAAAGTATGAGTAAATACAATACCAGTTCAAGGAAAGCTTTTCAACTCCCACAGCAGATAAACAAGTAGGACAGTTTTGGATGACCTAATAATGCAACATTGTTTTTAACATTCAATAGCAACTATTTCATATTTTCTACGCATGACGAATGAAGCATTTTCAATGGCTACATTAAAGGAAGGATTGTGTTTTTTTAAAGGTAAAGGTCGTTTTACTAAAATATGTTTTGTCAATTAAAATTGGAAAAGAACAGATTTAAGCAGAACAAGTAGTGAGGGCTGAATTACAATAAGCTTTCATTATGGTTCTGGTATTACTCATGCTGACTCACTGTAGCAGTAATGGCTCACTAGGACACTTGAGTATAAAGTAGACAACTTATTTTTTTCTAAACCACATGTGCTTTACCCCTTATAATGTCTGCAGTAAAAAAAAAAAGCCTACATCTGAGGTTTGGTACCAGGCAATGAATTGATAAAAAAGTTTTGTAAAACCCATTATCCAAGCAATATATCATGAAGCATTGTGGTGCAAAGCACAAAACCAGAGTCTCTACCCACAAATAAACGAGTTGTGGCGAGAAAATATTTATAATTTAATTCAAATTACAGTTATTTATTTATTCATTTATTCAGTAAATGTGCTCAATATAATATTTCTTCTCGATTAAATTTGTTAACTATTACTGATCTCAGCCGGTGTTGCTGCACGTTTTAGTCCAGTGAGACAGCGAGTGGTGTTCTAAATGGTTCATTAATTCTGACGATGATTTTCTGATACAGTCCACTACAGAGAACTCCCGATGTAGAAAGAAGGGAGTAGTGACATGTGATTATGGGCACCACAATGGTTTAAAGGAAAAGCTCATCTTAGTATGAAAACATGCAAACAAATTGGTGTTTTTTTCTTATCCACATTATCTATTTATTCCCTGTTATAGTTCAGTCTTGTCCTGCTTACTTCATTGCTTTTTACTTGAACCTGACCAAGAAGCATTGGTGCTGACACCTTACCAACATTTTACAACAATAACCATCTACTGCAGGTTAGCCAAAATTGATCCATCCATCAATCCAGATGTATGGGATATTAAATTCCTCCAGCCAGCTCAGGGTCTAACCCAGGGGTCTCCTCCCAGTTGGATGTGCCTGAAAAAAAAACCTCCTAATAGGCATCCAGAAGACATCCTAATCGGATGCTCCAACCACATCAACTGGCTCTCCGGATGTGAAGGAGTAGGGGATCTACTCTGAGCTCCCTTGGGTTATCTGTGCTCCTTATGTTATTTGCAGAGCTGAGCTCAGCAGCCTGGTTAGATTTAGGCAGCCATATTAATTGGTTAGGTTTAGGAAAAGATTGTGCTTTACGTTTAAATACTAACTCAACATTGACATTAACTCTCACAGGACACAAACAGCGTCAGAGCATGTTGTTCCAATTATTAAATATTACAGAGTCTGGGACATTAGCCTAATATTGATATGCATTTAGACGTGACCGCTACACTGATGTAACCAATTACTGTTAGCATCTAAGTTACAGTATGTTGGAATGTGATGGCTTCAAATTATGTACAGGTATGTTTGTGTGTGTGTGTGTGTGTGTGTGTGTGTGTGTGTGTGTGTGTGTGTGGGGGGGGGGGTCTATCCTCCTTAGACTTGAGAGAGAAGTTGTAATATTGTGTTTCATGCATTGAACAGCAGCAGTTTTAAATACAAGAGAGTACAGATTTTATGTATACAAACATTTGCATGGCATTGAATTTGTTTTGGATTAGAGTTTCTTGTCAATCCTCCTCTGTATCACCCTGAGCAACAACAAAAAAAACATTGCCGTGGTTTCACTGGCACTTCTTTTCTTGAAGATCAAATCATCTCTTCCTCACCCGATGTTCCACACTTTGGTTTTCTCTCGCTCATTTTATCTCTATTCATCTGAAGGCTCCCTCCCTCCTTTGTACTCGTCTTCTCGGCTCTATCTATCATCATAATAGCCTGCTCATCTGGGTCCCCCTGCATCTCTATCCTCATCATCCTTCTCTTCCTCTCTTCCATCTTTTCCCATCCTGCATGGAGCCGGATAATCCCCTTTTCCCACCCTCGTTTGTCTCTCTTTGTGTCTCTTTTCTTCTCCCTTCTCACCTACTTCTTTTTTCCCTTTCATCCTCCCGTAACCCAAATGCTGCGTCCTTATTGAAATGTTTCCGGAGAACCCACTAAGGAAAAGCATCAATCTAGTTCCATTAGCTCTACGTAAGTGATTGATGATCTTCATACTTCACCTTTCCTTCTTGTTTCTCAGCGTTGTTACAAATGGACCAGTGCAACACTGGAACTAAAAGTCATATCGCTCATTGAATGAGCAGATTACAGCTGTACACATGGTTTAGCCTCTAATGGTTTATCAGTGTTTGGTTTTCTCTCACCAGAGAGCTGCACAAATTCAATAGTAAACCAAGTCCACCATTACAGGCCATTAGAGATGCAATGGAAGTTTGGAAAACTACCCTCTGTAATGCACAGCTTCTAAAGTGGAACATATTGTGAAATGTTGCAGATGGTTAAATGGTTGCTTTGCTTCTCCCGGGAGTTACAGAGTCTGGCCTTTGTTTAAAGAGACAATGTTCCATTTTCATCTAAGACCAAACGTTGACCATCGTTTTTTGTGCATACATCCCTAAAAAAGAAATGCATTTGAATTGCCCCAGTAAACTAGAGCCTATATGGACGTATAGGAGGTAAAGGGGGGCTTAACTTCTGGATTTTTACCGCAGGTTTTTTCCAGGCACATGACCGCTCAAATACAAATGCATTCATCATCTTTCAGTCCCTGAGGTTCAGTGTCTTACCCTAAGATACCTAGAAAGGACCCATACCTTCTGATTAGAGGATAACCTGCTTTATTTCCTGTCCTAGCCATCCTGATGTGTCTCTTAAGTAAACCTTAAACCAAGCAGCCCTTTCACATAGGCATTGTATATAAGAAATAATAAAAATGGATGAAAGTGCAAAGTCTTGCAGGAGAGACACACAGTGGGAAGGATGGACATAAGAACAGAGAATCAATAAAGTGGCCTTTAACTCTACAGCTGTATATATGTTGGAGTAATTTCCATGTTCCGCTTATCTACTCATATATAGAATGTTCCGTGTAAAGTATGCGCCAAAAATAGAGCATCAACCCACGTCTCTCTGTGGCCAGCACAATTCCCCGCACCTGCTTTCAAGAAAAATGCTAATTAGTTTATGCAGATTTATGAGCAGTGGGAGGTTCAGCAGTTATACTTATATAGGAAGCAAAACAATATTAGAGTCTAGCACCAACATATGCGACTAACAGAGAGGATTCTTAAAATGAGGCACATAAAGCACAAATTAACAAGAAACCAGAACTGATTATTATCATGAAAAAAGAACAGGGGCTGAGCAGCACTCTGGGAGTCGAAGTGACAGGTTCAGGTGACCAGTGTCAAAATTAAGATAGCTCAGGGTGAATGAAATGACTTTTTAGGGATTGAAATAGCCCTGTGAACTTTGTATTGCCCTGGATTCATTATCTGACACAGGATGAAACTACTTGTGCAACTAGATGGAGATGAAATGTGACCTCCCTGTCAGGACATTCTTTCACATTCTGCTCTTTCATTTTCTTTTTTATGTGCAGATGTCCATCACTGCTTGAAATGCAGAAGATGAAATTGAACTGCACATGTGAACAACCAGGCCAGCCATTTACAGCAACGGTTACACAATCATATAACATAATCAAAATGCCTTGTTTCTTAAATATGCTATATAAATGAATTTGGTATAGTTTTAGGATGTATATGGAATGGTTACGTTAGTTTTTTGTAATGTCACGTTGTGGTTTGCATTGTTGTAGTAAATGAAACCACATGTTTTCATAAATCAGAGTACATCCAATGAACTTGGATAAAAAGTGTATTAGTATGGAAATCAGCACGACTGTCATCAGCTAAGATCACAATCCAAATCCCTACTGCAAATTATAAGTATAGCTTGTTGCCATTTTTTCCGCACTTGTTCACAGTTGAAGTATTCCTGGCTCAATGACGCATATCCAGCATCCGGGACAGCGACTAAGCTGCCATTCACTGTCCATGGTGCTGAACTAGTGCCCTCAGATGCCTTTACATTAATGAACATTGTGAATAGTTTTATTTTCTTTACTTCAGCATACAAGCAAAAGTGCTTTTATGAACCTCTTAAAAAATATGTATGATGTATTTGGTGTTCGCACAACTCCTTTTTTCAAAGGTTTTTTAAGTACCCAGATCCAAAGTGATGTTGTGACTTACTTGGCACCCTGTTGATTGCTTTGAGAGGCCGCAGTACCCTCACTGTCCTGATGGCGGTGAAGTTCATGTTCTGCAGGTCCAGTGAGTATTCAACCATCCTGGAATATACACAGAACAAAGCAAAGTGTGTTAATAACCCACAGACGTTTGGATGTCCACAGCTTGTAGGGTGTCAAAGAGAATGGAAACAAGAACAATGACTTTCAGCTGAACTTCTGGGTTAGTATAATATACTCCTTCCTCCATGTTTGTTCTTGTCAAAAAGCCATATTAAAGAAAAAGTGCACACAAAACCTGCCACTGTCGAGCTCCTGCTGTGCTAAGTCTAATATGAATTAATGAGCTGGAACTTATCTACCTAATAAAGCAAGACACAGAAAGAAACAGGGCTCAGTGGTATGTTCGGTAACATTACATTTCAGTTTTTACAAAAAAGAAACTCAGTCCTCCCTTTGTTTACAGCTGAACATGCATACTTATGTATGTAGGTTTACTTGTTTTCATGAGACAGACCTGCTATTAAAAACAAGGATGTTCTCTCATGTTGACACTGGCAGATAAAGTTTGAAAATGACATGTCAAATAGTACAGTGGACCTCCTGCATCCCTGAAACTGGTACTATCTTTTAGCACAAGCAGTCAAGGCATCAAAGTGTATCCTGTGAGGGTGTACTTAAAAATTACGAGCCTGGGATTAAACCAAACCTGCAACCTAACCGGATTAGAGCAGAGGAGCAGAGGTTGGAGGTGGAGAAAGTAAACAAGCTTGAAGTGAAAGTGTGGAATAGAAGATAGAGGAAGGAAACAAAGAGAGAATATTTTTATATTCAACCTATCATGACATTATTTGTTTTTATAAACTAGGCGAAGCATATTTGCCAGAGGACTGGCCAAAAGATAAACATGTGAGAGCAGAGGAAGAAGTACGACAACGTAAGAAAAAATAAAATACATACAAGGTGATACATCAAGTGAGAAGTAGACTCATATTCTCATCTGATTCTTGTTTGTTTTGTAAGTAAATAGAAATAAGACACATTTTTGGTATTTTCAAAATGATCAAACATGATGGTTTACTTTGTAGGTGCAGGATGATTGTCAGCTGTTGATCATCTACACATGCATTAGGGGTTTTGAGCAGGAAGTAACCTGCATATATTTTGACCAACTGAGGGGGAGTACACAATTTATGAAAAGAGAGAAGAAGAAACAGATGGACAAAGTGTGAGAAGAGGAGGAAAAGATTAGAAACCACTGCGAGTAAAAGCAAAGAGGGATGATTAAGTGCAATATAACGAGCGCAATAAAGTGAGATTGAGAGCGAGAGACAAGGAGAGCTTGAGGGTTTTATCAAGTGTTGGAGATAATTACAATGTTGGGAAGAGAGAGACAGAGAGAGGAGAGTGATATGCATATACCTGCCTGAGCAGAGGAAAGCAGGCTCTAAGGCTCAGAGAAAAAGAAGTACAAGAAACTGAGTTAAGTTCCAGGTATTTCACACCGATATACTTCAAAATATTCAAGCTCTTTATAATAAGAAGCTCATTTCAAAGAGAGGTTAGATTCTAAGAGGTGGTTTCTCAAAAGTCTAAAAAGCCCCAGCCAATTATTCGCTTCCAACTACTCGACCTTTAGACCTGCACACCTTGAGAGAAGTCTTGAAAATATTTGACAGCAAAATAACAGTAACATAGAGAGAAACGTTGAAATTCTTCCATTTCTTGGAGGTCCAGGGGGAGTTATACAGTTTGAAATGGAATCCTACGAGGTTTCAAAATTTGATAGCATGAAAAAGTTATGTAAGGAAAGAACTCAGGAGGATGAGGGAAAAAAAAATAACTGGCCTGGTTGAAGTTCTGTCAAGACTTCAGAAAATAAACCGTAGTATCTGCCAACTTCAATTAAATGTCTAGTAGGAATAGCACATGTGTTCCCAGAGTTGTACCTCGAGCTCATGTTCCCTCAGGTGTACCTCTGTATGAACTTGAAAAACTTGAGTGAAAAAGTTTCAAAGGTGATCCAGAAAGCTGCTGCTACATTAGCTTGACGGTCTCCCTAACAAAAAAATGTTGCTTTATTCTTTGCAGTCCAGTAACCAACACCTCAGTCCAGTGACCAAAACCTCTGCGCACGCTTCAAAGAATCCATAAGATGCGGATCTGACTCAGTCGACCGTGAAATATGAATCTCTCCTCCTGCCTGTGTATCACCGTATCCTTTGTGGTGACAGGAGCCCGCTGAGCCGTGCTTATGCCACAGCTCCGCCACAAATCAGACAAAAACCATGCTGGTAAAAACACACTGACCATGAACAGAAAAGGTGGGAGATTGCACAGATCCTGAATACAGCCTTATCTATGTGAGATCACAGAGGTTAGTTCCTCAGTGAGTGGCTGTGATCTAATTTGACAGCCAATTTTCTACGGTGGAGCGGAGAACAGGGCGTACACTTCAACCACTTCCACAATAAGAGGAGGAAATAGGTATTTTGTGTGGAGGAGTTTAAAGCATGGAACAGGTTGGAATACAGGGTGATACAGTTAGAAAGCAAAGTGAGAGTACAAAGAGTAATCAAAAAAACAAACAGTTTTAGCGTTTTAAGTTGTAGCTATGAAAATATTGAAATTTAACAAATATAATAAAACTGTGTAGTAAGAAAAACAACACATTTCAAACTGTGTCTGTTGATTTTTTTGTATTTCAGAGCCAGAATTGACCGTATTTGGACAAAGAGAAGGAGGGGGTTAGCAAACATAAAGTCATCAGATAATGCTATCATTAGTTAAACGCACGGCATGTACATTACGCCGCCAGGGGGCTCTCAATCAAAACAAAAACAAAAGATGACGTTCAGGCTGGCGAGAATCATGGTAGTGATTCTCTGTGCTACTCTCCGCCACCCCCGATGAAAACGAACTCCAAGTTGACCGCAGTCAAGATGAACGGGCGAAACAGACCTGAGGAAGATAATATGTTTACAGACGAGCTAATGTAGTATCATGTACATGCCATTTTTTTTTTATCAGCAGCACTATAGCAGCTTTCAGTAGCAATTCCAGCTTCCTTATGCAGCGGTCTTTGCGCAACATACAGTGTTTCCAAGGCAACGCTAAACAAGTCATGTCTGTCCATGTTAGTCCATTTTTAATTAGTTCAGATATTTTAGTGTAAAAATTCTACATATTGAACGTTTAAAGAAAGCAACCATACCATAATACAAATTGGGATTGAAATTTTGGCTAATGAAAATAAATGTCTTTAAACAACAGATAGAAAAGTACAAGGAGATTACAGGCTGCTGCAGGTGTGACAACTAGGTTACTAACCCTCTAAAGCATACCCTGCATTAACAACTATTTAACTCTTAAAGTGACCATAACAAACAAAAATGAACATGTTTTTTTTTTTACTTTGCAACTTAAAACTAGTGATTGAGTCAAAAATGTTATTAAACCTATTAAAATAGGTGCCTTCACTTACAGCTGATACACTACTTTACTTGACTTGCATCTTATCTTGTTTCATTGGCAGCCTTCATCTTTTTGTGTGACTGCCTGTTTGAATGTATGAGTGTGTGTGTGTGTATGTATTCTTGTCTGTCTCTATAGACGACAGATGGTCTGTTCTTAAATACTCCAGTGAAGTTCGCTTTAATGCCCGCTGTAAAGCACTTTGGTACAAACCTTGTTTGTTTTCAGGTGCTCTGTTAATAAATCTGACCATGACCTTGTCTCTGTCTCTCTTGAGCGTCTGTCTCTGAGTTAGGACAGTTCCCCAATCAAACGGCCTCACAGATATTTTCAAGGGAGAATGAGGTTATTTATTCATTCTAAGAGCCCTTAGAGGAGTGTGATGTGGATTTTTAACTGGTTTCTAAACATCCTCCAGCTTCTCTATTCAGATTTTCTCTCTCTGGTTTCTCTTCTTTCAAGAAAGCTGCATTAGATTTATCTCCAAGAAGAAGCTCTTTCAAATGTTGGCAATATTCTGAAATATTCTCACTGGAGCTATACGAGTGGAACAATGGGAGAGTTATTCTCCATGGCTGCCCTGATCGTTGGAGAAGGAAACTTTTAATGTTGGAGACAATTGGTGGTAGGGCAGGCTTTGAACCCCTATGAATTTCATGAGCACCTCTGTAGGGTTTAGTGAAAATGTCTTATTGGAAGCCAAAGTGAGAATAATTTATGGAGTTTATTATATTTCATTTATTCAAGAACAAGATTGTTAAAGTTAGTCCGTCCTTTTTTTTGCCCTTAAATTCTCACACCTTCCCCCATTTTCACACCTGTTCCATCTTATAGTCAGTATTAGTTGGATTTATCCACTGAAAGCATTTATACCTTCTAAGAAACAAAAAAAGTGTACGTCATCATACAGATGAACATATATTTTGGGTCTGAAGAGAACAGTGTAGTTTTCTGGCGGAGGCAGCGACACACACAACACAGTTCACCAGGATTACAGTTAATGTTCCCCTTATTGTCTGGCCTTGGAAAGCAAGCTAATGCAGCAGAAAATATATTGTTGCGTCCATTCTGCTTGCAGTAATGCGGTCTAAAAGGCAAGAATGAACTAATATGGCAATTACCAGGCAGCACTAAGTGTCTCATTTTATGCCAACAGTCCAAGCCAAACTCCTTCTGGAGAAGATGTCATCAATTATTAAAATGAGATGAATGGATTCAGAAGATCTTCAGCCCCAGAAGAGGTTTGCTAGTCAGAGAAGATGAAGAGTCACGCATACACACACTAATTTACTACGGCTTGGAGGCATTCCACTCCCTCTTTACCTTTTTACTCTCCTGCTGCAGTTTTTTTCACAAATATTACAATTCACTAACTCACTCTAAAATATCTTCATTATTTTCATTAAAGTAGACACACCTTTCTCCTAGTTCTTTCTACCTATCTGTTTAGTTTGGTCATCCGTGTGTGTGTGTGTGTGTGTGTGCTCTTATGTGTTGTGCCTCTCCTTATTATTTCCATTCACGCGTTCCTACAGAGTGTTGTTTGGTGTCAGAGCTCTAATGAGCTACTGTTACACTTCCAACTGGGTACAGATGCTCAAACACTTTTCCGTGTGTGTGTGTGTGTG